ACCAAGAGGAGAGGGCAGTTGTGGGTGACCACGCCAGGATGGGATGGCAGTTGTGGGTGACCAGGACAGGATGGGATGGCAGTTGTGGGTGATCAGGCTGGTGGAGGGGCCGTTGCGGAGGAGCAGGCTGGTGCTGGGGGTAGGGGCAGTTGGGGGTGAGCAGACCAGCGGGGGTCCAGTTGGGGGCAAGCAAGCCATCCGTGGGGGTGATCAGGACAGTAGGGGGCAGTTTGGAGTGAGAAGGCCAGCAGGGGGGGAGTTGTTGGCAAGCATTCCTTTCTCTGCTTCCACTCTTGCCTCTACATATTCCAGTCATTCTCTAAACAGCATAACCAGAGTAATACAAAAATTGGGGCAAAAATCCTATATAATAAAAGGTTAATATGCAAATTGACCCTAACAGCAGAATGACTGGGAAGGACTGGTCACTATGACGGACGCTAACTACCAGGGGGCAGAAGCTCAATGCAGGAGCTACCCCCTGGTGGTCTACCAGTAGACCAGTGATGGTAGGAGCCTCTCCCGCCTCCTCAGCAGCACTAAGGATGTCCGACTGCAGCTTAGGCCTTCTCCCCGCTGGCACGTGGGCATCCCCCAAGGGCTCCCAGGCTGCCAGAGTGATGTCTTACTGCCAGCTTAGGCCCAATCCCACAGGGAGCAGGCCTAAGCCAGCAGGCGGTCATCCCCCGAGGGGTCCCAGACTGTGAGAGGGCACAGGCTGGGCTGAGGGACCCCCCTGCTCCCGAGTGCACAAATTTTTGTGCACCGGGCCCCTAGTATAGATATAAGAGCTCAAAACAGGTTGGGGGAGGAGAAACAGATTTGAGAATTGTGTGTATGATAGAGTTTAGACCACCATAGTGGGTGAGATTGCAAAGTGGAACTGGGTAGAGCTTAAGGAGAAAGAACTAATTACAAAATCCAGGCTTCTCAAATGTCTGGAGAAGGGGAGGCAGGATGCTTCCCCCCAGCAGTACAATCTTTTCTCTACCACCCCAAAAATAATAAAAATTATGTTTTCATATATGTAAAAGAAAGGGTCATTTTATAACTCCTCTGATACAAAAGTCTTAAAGAGTCAATCTGGCACACTAGACAAAAAAACTATTTTAATTGTATAAAATTATACATATAAAATACATAGAAAGTACTAAAAAGGTAAGTAAAATCTTTAACACCAAAAGTGTACAGATCAGGGAACAATTTTTCTCAAGTTCTTCGGGATCTTACTGGTTGGTATTAGAGAAAAATAGTAAATCCAGGAGGTGCAAAGGTAAGTTCTTCCCACATCTCACACCCCTTGACACTTCCCAGAGGAAGCGTAGAAATGAAGGTTTATGATTTCTGGATTATAAATATCAGTAAAAACTGAATAGACACACCTGTTGCTGAACACAGGCGCGTCTGCACCAACCCTACATGTATTTCATGGAATAAGAGAAGGGGCTTGCAGAATTCAAGGAAGTCCCTTTCGAGCATTGGTACATGTGTTGCTCGATACCATACCTTTGATCCCATAAATGGTTTCAAAAGAGAGAAAGCTCGCTTGCATCTTGTCCCTATCTGATCCAAAAGAGAATATTTGTGGCCTGTTTCCTAACCTATTTCTGAAAGCAAAGTGTATAATCATTGAATGGAAAGTCAAATTGTAGAAACATTAAACTTCCCAAGCTCAGTTTAGAAAGTGCACTGAGCTATAATATTGCATAAAGGAGACTACAGAAACAAGGGGGGAATATATCTTAGAGAGATCTACAAAAAATTCTCCCAAAGGTGAGTGTTTTACCTGTACTCCAGATCATTCCTCTCCTATCCCACCCAGGAGAGTGGTGGGGAAGAGAACAGTATTAAAAACGCAAATAGCTGATCATTGATTCTCTTTCACTTCCTGCAGTCTCCCAACGTTCCATTTCGGAAGTGCCATAATGCTAAAGTGTCATCTATTTTACCTGATCAATTCATGCTCTAATAATCAATGTGGAGAAAGAGGAAAGAAAACAAAACAATTCTGAATCTAAGGTATGAACATCTAAGGTAGGAGACAGCAGCAACTTTGTGGCAGTGAGAGGAACTTGGCCCTCATCAAATAGGACAGATAATCTTTCCAAAGAGCAAAATGATGGCAGGAGAGTGAGGAGGGAAACATGTTTTGCCTTCTACCAATCTCTGCAGGCAGGAAGGTTAAATATGGGGCTTAACTAAGCTAGGGGGGGCCGGGGAGCAGGAGTGAAAGGGAATATTGAAAGATAAGCAACTCCAACCCTGATTCCTTCTGTAACGGAGACTACATCCAGAAATCCGGACTGTGGTATGGTTTCAATGGCCCAGAAGCCATAGGTGACAAACCCTTGTGAATTGTGTTTATAATTCCTCTCTCGTTCCTCGGCACTTCCTCAGGAATGGCTTTAAAAATGAGAAGCCAGATTCCCCAGTTCCTATTTCGTACCAACTGGAGTCAGAGGGGGAGTAAGGTAGTGGTGAAGAGGCGTGGTGTAGGTTAGGGGATGTCATTACTGGAGGAACAACTTGGTACCGAGTAGGCCCAGCTCAAGATAAACCAAAGCTGAAGGCTTCGTATTCACAACCACTTTGAGCCTGAGAGAAAGCAGGCATGGGGCGGGGGGACAGTCCGACTCAAGCTCCCCGTTACTGTAGAAGAAGGAGACATGGACAGTTAATTTTGTGCTACTGAAACGACGACACAGAATTTCTGGGCGTGTCAAAGCCAGCAAAGCTGCAAAGGCAGCCTGCTCTTGGAAAGTGGAGTGGAGATGTTTCAAGTGAAAGTCCATCAAAAAAACTAGAAGAAAAGAGGTCTCTTAGCAAAAAGGGATCCAGGTGCAGAGTTTATACATACCTGTGTATGTATATATATGCATATGTATATTTTTAAAGTATAAAAGTGGGCAAGTATGTACAGAAACCATAGGAAGTCTCGGAAAGGACATATTAAAGGGGCCTGGAGGGGTGGGCGCCACGCGGGCGGGGGCCTAGCAGTTGGAGGAGTGCATGTTGCCCAGCTGCCCAGCAGCCAGCATCAGGATGTCTTTCTTCTCCTTGTGGAAGCGCAGCTCCTTGCCCGCCAGCCGGGCTTCGTCCAGCTCCCGCTCCGTGGAGGCCAGCTCTCTAGACAGCGCCCCTGGCACACTCTGCTCCCGGCTCACCCAGTCCAGTGCCATTTGGTGACGAATGTCATCATCCAGGGCCCGGTGTGAATAGTGAGCCAGCACTTCCTAGAGAGGGGAAGGAAGTGTGAAGGTCGCTGGCCTGGTAAAGGCTCATACCACACTGACCAGGCTGGGACTAGGAGCTCAGCCTTGGAGTCTAAGTGAGGTCAGCACTTCCGCCCTCTAAGAAGATTGTTCAGAGAAATGTCCTTGTGGGGGAAGCAAAAGAATCACAGCTAAG